CCTAACATGCTTCTTAACTCAAATAAGCAGGTAAATAATGGTAATATAAACAAGGAACTTTCATATGAAATTGTCGCTGTGACCCTGTTTTCTCTTTTACAGATGACGGATATTCCTCTTCTCGTGAGGGAGCGAGGACATTCTCCTTACTTGCCCATGAAAACGGGGCACAGGCTTACGCTCTGGATGCCAGTTTCATGTATTCAACTGAGGCTTACCTGCTTTCGGACAATTCAGGACTGCCAGAAGCGGCCATAGTTATTGACGACGACTATCTAATCGATATTGATGAACTGGGTAAGCTTATTTTGTTCAAGTCTTGGCAATGCTACATTAAAATAGAAACCTTACCAGATATAATCCAAGCAAGGTTGAAATCGCCTAGCAAGACACTTTAAAAACTGGCACCGAAATTCAAAAGTTTAAACCAATGCATAGGATGCTGAAATAAGAATCGGCCAGATGGTTTTGCTTGATTTGTCAATCAGTGTTGTCGGTGTTAGGAGTCATCATAACCGACTCGCTTTTATTTCACACTACTGATCTGCCCACATGCAACACATGTGATGACTCGCAAGCCCCGCCAATGGGCTGAGTCAGAAAGCCAATCAAGCAGCCGCTCACTTGAGGACTCTGTATTATTCGTCCGACTGCAGGCCGCCCTTGTACATGCCTTGCTTTGTGTTAGCATATGACATAACACAACCATTCTATCGCTCTTGCTGTTGAGTCCTACTTTGGGGATTCGAACGAGGTATTGTTGGATGGCGAGCACCATGGCTTATGGCAAGAGTATAAGAAGCAGTTTATTATTCCAGCAGTTCCAGCCATGCTCGTTTGGTTAAAGTCCAACTAACAGACGTGTCGGATTTTCTAAACTACGCGTCATCACTAACAGGGATTAAACATTGACATAGACACGGACTTGGTCCAGTTTTTGTTCAGTTGTGGTAACCGGGTGTCCTGCGAACCCCATTGAAATGCAGCAGTTGGACTTCAGCAGTGAGGCGGGGGAACGTTTAGGAATTCGACGATCACACAACTCCGGAGCCATCGGAAGGTGTCTTGATGTATCCAGGTCATTTTTGGTACATGCGGTCCGACTCTTATAGCCCACTAACTACTGTGCCCAATCATTCCAATAAGATGATTGGCAGGCTCAGACGATCTCCTGGTGCGGTCGTGACTTGAAAGTCTGCAACCTGGCAGGGTACCTTGGTTTCGGTCTCTATGAAACCCGGTCAGTCGTAAGTGGAGCAGATTGTGTATGTTACGCGTAGACGGACTGTTTAGCTTTATTAGCTTTCGGGCTCGAATGCCTCTCCAGTTAAGTGCACCCTGTAATGCCGCTTGATCCAGCTCGGGTACGGTGGAGGCACTTTCACAGACGCTACGAAGATCTGCCACGTTCATGGTGACTGTCGTTGATTGCGACGGTCAAAATACGGCTGTTTTCCGCCGCATTTGTTATTGAAAGGTACAGGCAAAATGAATGAACTCGCCTGTATGGCTGTCGTTTGTCTACCTGAAGGACGACAGACGTAGGCACTGATTCTTAGCAGTCAGCTCAACAAATATGGTGATCTCGAAATTTGGTTTCATATGATTTTTAGAAGGTTTTACACTTCAACAAATTCATAAACGCCTATATGCATGCTCTTTAAACGCTTAAAATGAAAAAAACACCAATGCCAAGTGATATTTTTTCATCTTCCTAGGCCGCTTAAATGCCTACCCGGAAAATGTTGAAGATTATGAATCAGAAGGCGCAAGTTCCAGGTTCCGGTAAATTAATCTTTTCGATCTTCTCAAACAAAGCCTTTTTATAGCCCATCGGCGGGCGAAGTGTCCATGCGGTTGAGTCCAGAAGCAAGATTGGACGGCAGCCATCACTCTAATTTACCCACGCCTCCGAGCTCTACGTCTCCGAGGGCCTGCACGCCTCCCCCGGTATCCGATCTTACCAGGGATACTTGCGCGGATTTTGTTGAAGTCGAAAGTACCTCTGGCGTGCGCTTGGCGCAAGGTAATGTTTTGTTTTTGTGTAAAATGGAAGACAACGCGAAACGACCTTACGAGAGTCCACAGCCCGAAAGACTCACTAGCAAATGTACCTTAAGGCACTATAAAAGCTTTTTTGGCCCGAAGGGCTTTCTACTATTAGAAGCAAACGGAATTCGGGGGCCCATAATGTGCTGGGCTCTTGAAGCAATTGCGCGAGGCAGGTGCTGACGGAGGTCAGTACGTTTTGGTCTGGTCGGTCAGACATCACAATCTGACCACCACCAGCTTCTTTGAGAACGGTAAGAATATCGCAGGGGTTTAAGTTAGTCAAACCATAGACGTTGTGATCTTCAGGCCCAGTTCTTTAGGAGAAGGGAAGACATGGGAGCGGCGTTGACCGCTGGCTTTCTGCCTTCTGCACGCACGTGGATCGTTTATGTGCTCGAGACTGGATAAGTACTCATCAATGAGAATTGTGCTTGTGGACGTGCCCTTAGCGGTACTGCATCTCGATAGAAAAATCCATTTGTCAGAGATGACGTGGGAAGCCGAAATGTTTATCGCATAGAAACCGTTGCCACTACGATCTTCATGAGAATAAGTGGGAGGCCACACTGGAAGGAATCGTTTATTCTGCATAAAAGAAAAAGAGAATAGGTA